TTCTAGGTACTTAACCAAACATTTTCAAACCACAAGCCTATAAACATACCAATTGTTTATGGACATTTTTATAACGCGGATGCAGGTAGGCAGCGTCTCGTATATATCGATCTAGCCATATAATGTCGAAACCACAAGCCTACTGCAGCTCTATCTATATCGGTGGGAGGTAGATACTTTATACTTCCTGTGATCAAACGGTCCAACGCCAAGCATACGAGAGGACCACAATCCCCTCTGGGTCCTTTCGTTTGTTGTGGTGCGGTCTCATCTCTGCTAACTGTAATATTGAACTTCTTTGGCTTCTTGTTTCCAGAACGAGTCCAATAATTATCGCATCCAAGTATTTAGCCAAATAAGAGCTCCATCCCTTAATAATATCTCTTAAATCAGCCAATGATATGTAATTTATCATGCTGTCATATACTATTGCCTTAAGGGATGGGATCTGAAGCTCGACGAGAAGCCAATGGTTACGTTCCAAAACAGGGATAAACACCTGCAATCATAAGTAATAATTCATTCATTTGCGCACTTATTTATGAATACCTTTAAACTCAATCTAAAATAAACACTAACCTTATCGACCTCCCACCATGCAGGATAAAGTTTAGCTTGTCCATTGCCCAACGCAAATGATTCATCTCGTTGATTCTTCAAGTGAACTGCGTTAAAAGCCGTCGGCATTATTGTATACCGTGTATTTCTTTTATTTTCCTTAAGTTTCCTAATTATTAGTAGACGTGACACCCACGCATCGATATGCTGTTTTACAAAAAAATACATATATTAGTGAATTACATTAATTTTTAAACAAATTAATCAAATGAAAATATAAGAAAAATATAAGACTTACCCCTCCATCGAAATAGCCATTGTCTTCGACCCTAATAATACGCCCCACCAAGACCGATCAAGCAACAAATAGATATCATCATTGAGCTTGCATATGTCAGTGAAACACCCCTGGCTTCGCTCGTGTAGATAAAAATCAACTGCGGTCTTAGCCCAAAGGGTGTTATCCAGAATTGTGTCCGGTAGTTGTTTCCTCTCCTCTTCAGATACCGGTATGGTACTGGCCGGTAACTCATACGAGAGCCAACTTGAATCCATCATGTCCGGCACGTCAGAGGGTTTCTCAAGAATCCTACATATGACGCCATGTAAATCGGGCTCTTGAATGGTGGGAGGGACCTCTTCAACGATGACAGTGGCCTCTTGAACGGTGGGAGGGGACTCTCGAGGAATGATAGGGGCCTCTTCAACGATAGGAGTGGACTCTTGAGGGATGATAGGCGAGTCGGGCTTCTTCTTGCGGTGTCTTCGCACTATTGGGGTATACGAAGACTTAATAGCACGTGCACGCCGTCTGATGCGTGAACTCTGTCGTGCAAGAAAAACCCGACGTAAAGCATCCACCTTATCGGTCCGCTAAATAAAAATACAAATATCAGTAAATAAACAGACATGATATTTAAACAGTGAAAACAAAGATAAATATATTTCAAACTTTCAACCGAAAGACAAAACAAAGACAAATACTAACTTCACAATGTTAAAGTAAAAAGTTTAGCAGTTTTGGCAGCAACCGAATAAATTTACCAAGCAATCTAAGTGAAATGGTTAATTTAAGTGAAATTACGAGTAAATTTATCATCAAGTTAAATATGGAAAATCTTAAACTTACCTCGTTGCGTAGAGTATGAACCTCATTCTGCAACGATACTACCATCTCACGTAGAGCGGCAACCTCACCACGTAAAGTAGACACCTCCACACGCCATGCACCATCGTTATCGCGTAGAGTACCGATCTCCTCACGCAAGGCATTGACCTCATCACGTAACTCCCTTGACTCATCCCGTGGAGGTGGAGAACAGGGAGATAGAAGTCGTGGCATCTTTGTCGGTCGCCTATCATGAGGTGATGGTGGAGAAGAGACTCGATAATGTGACGGGATAGGTGATGACTCTCGTTGTAGAGGTGTATAGTCAGGTCGATCAGGTGATGGCTCTGGGTGAGGTGATGGCTCTCGAAGTGGAGGAAGTGGAGGCTGCTCATCATTCGTGCCATCAAAAAAACGCTGACTAGCTTGCCACCAATCAGTGGCAAGCTCAGCCTCCGTGGGTGTCAGTCTCATTAATGGAGTGTTGGCCTCCTAATAATATAAAAACTAAAACAAAGTTAAACGTCTACTATTAATAACTTGTTTATATATGATAGTATTTGTGTTAACTTACATTATTTATTGTCGCATATGGTATTAAGTCTTCCCAATCCAACATACGTTTCCTCTTCCAGGAAATAGCCCTAGGAATATCATCTGAGGATTTTAATGCATATGTCCGCATGCTGGGGAAAGCCTCGAATATCCAAATCTACAAACAATATAATAACAAACATTAGTAATTGTTAAATAATTAATTATAATTTTGAAAACATTATATAGAAATTCTTACCTTAAAGGCCCAAACAAAGCCTGACAAAGTGTATTTCGACCCATCGCCCCGCAAACTTTTGCGGTCATCAAAGGCAGGCGACAACTTAGTCCAGGTAGCTTTCCATATATACGAACCCCACGGAAACAGATTCCATGCATTTAGGTCCTCTACCAATAATATTAGCTCCTGAGGAATAGGTTGTCTGGCCTCTCTGCCTAGAAAGCCGGCATACAAAAGTAGTAGAAGGCATACTCGGACAACATCGACGTCATTCATCCGAGTAAAACCATCTTTCTTATTAAACAATTTCTTCATGTCGTCGACGTGTAAGTTCGGCTTCTCTATTGACTCATCAGGAAAAACCCTGGATAACCATGATGGGCGGGTGATATGACGAGTGTACCGACCTACATCATCGTGTCCGAATCGTAGACCAGTGATTAAGCAGAACTCCTTCCGCCCAAAACAAGTATACGCCGGTGGAAAATGAAACCATATCTCTTCCTCACCACGTTGTATACTGTCAGGTAGATCGCTAGTCATGGTCTGAAGCCACAAATGGGTCAAACTAGCATCTCCACCCGGATGCTGTACTCTCAGCCATGGCCCGAAGCAGGTTTCTTCAAACAATTTTCTTTGTGCAGGTGAAAGCTTCGAAGCAATTATAGTGGCTAAGCTAACTTTATTCCTTAATGTCAATGAAGCTGAAAAAAATTTCTACAAAAAAACAATAAACATACCAAGTTAGATATACCAAAAATTACACTGTCAAGATATACCAAAAACAAAACAATAAACATAAATAGTAGTTTATTCTTGAAACTAAAATTTGCAACACTGTTTCTGTCTTTTGGTTGAAATGAAAATCGCAACGAGATAATGAGAATCGCAACGCGGAAATGACTATCGCAACGAGAGAATCGCAACGCGAAATGACTATCGCGACCAGACAATCGCAACGCGAAATGAAAATCGCAACCGCGAAATTAAAATCGCAACGCGAAATGAAAATCGCAACGCGAAATGAAAATCGCAATGCGATTTTGGTTTCGCGTTGCGATTTTTATTTCGCGTTGCGATAGTCATTTTCGCGTTGCGATTCTCATTCTCGAAACTATTCTTCTTCTGCATTACTTCAACCAAAAGACAAAGCAAAGACAAATACTAACTTCACAGGCTAAACAGTTTAGCAGTATTGGCAGCAATCGAATGAATTTAATAAGAAATCTAAGTGAAATGGTTAATCTATTATTGAAATTACCAGTAAACTTATCATCAATCTCAATATGAAAAACCTAAAATAATGCAAAAATTTCAAAATAAAAATAAAAAAAACTAACCCTCGGAGGTTGATTTTCCATTTTTGAATGATTGTGAGGGATTTTTGACTGTGAATGGTTGTGAGGGATTTCGCCGGCGATGGGGACGGAAATCTTCGGAGATGGGGACGGATTTCGCCGTAGAGAGTGAGAGATGGAGATGGGACTGAGTATTGTGTTTTTGGGTTTGAGGTTATGAGTTGCGTGCGATTACTGTGGACGGTTCATTTTCCGATTTATTAAGAAAAAATACGTGTTTGGAATTTGAAAAAAAAAAATACGCGTTAATACGAATGGCGCTAAGTAAATCGCGTTTCGAAAGTCAGTATCGCGTTGCGAAAGTAAGTATCTCGTTGCGATTTTTTATTATCGCATTGCGATAGTCAGTATCACATTGCGATTTTCCCAATTCGCGTTGCGATTTACTTATTCGCATTGCGAATTTCCCAATTCGCGTTGCGATTTACTTATTCGCATTGCGAATTGGGAAAATCGCAACGATACTGTAGACCATCGCAACGCGATTTTCAACTATCGCATTGCGAAAATGCAACGCGAATTTGCGATAATGGAGATCGCGTTGCGAATTAGCGATCGCATTGCGATTTTGTTGGTCATTTTGGCAAATCCGGAAAAAGTTGGTTAAAATCGTATATTATATGGGATTTTTGGTCACTGAGGTTATTTTCTCTTTTTTTATTTAATCTAGATCGACTTAGATCATATACTTAATTTTGATAGACGAGTCTTCAAACGAAATTTTTTACATACATAATAACTCAAATTAAAAACCTTAAACGATATTAAACTACTTATCACTTGAACCAACTGTATAAATACGTAACAAAACAATTAACAAATAGGGTATAAATATATTTTTAAACTGACCCGTTTGAACAATTTAGGTGGTTACAAACTTTAACACATTTAATTCGTTTAACAGTTCAAAGTGTTACAAAATAATACTTATTAAAAAAATTATACACTTGTCGACTTAAATACTTAAAATTAGAATCTTTAGAGAGTATAATATATTTTTTATGAATATTGTTCACCCGAACATACAAATTTAAATAAAAGGAAGATGGATAATAGCTTATCATAGTCCAATAAATCGTTAAAATGTTGGACTGCTCCAATAAGGAACTTTTCACATATAAAAAATTACAATACCATAAAATACTGTACTCTCAAGATTTACAAAGAATTTTTTTAATAAAGTTAAGATTAATTTTTATTTTAATTATTTAATTAATTAGAAACCTAATATGGATGAACATTTCTGCTCAAGCTGCTGACGTTAGTGAAAAATCCGATCTGCTTATACGGCAAATACGACCGCCGTTTAACTCCTTCCCTTTGTGCTCTGTTTTTAACGTAAAGCTGTTCGTGAGCCGAAGGCGATGCCGTTTTACCTCTCTTCTTTGCCTTCGGTTTCTCTTCTTTTTCGTTTTTCTTTTCGGTTTTTATCGAAGAAGAAGGCGGAGGCTGGTTTAAGAAGACGAACGCGTCTTTTCCATCGCTACTACATCGTAGCTTCAAATCTCTGAACCTCCAAAGCTTGGAGAAACCCGTCGAGTTGCTCTTCCGACACGTGTCCGGTGAGACTTCCACCGCGGTCCTCCCGCCTCTCCACTCGCAGTACGGCCCCGCCGTTTCCGACGTGCTAGACGACGATGACGTCTTGTCCGATAAATCTTCCACGAGAAGCTTCCTCACCCGAGGAGGTAGAGCGACGTCACCCTCCTTGGTCCTCAAAACTGTTCCGTTTTCATCGGCGAAGAGGAGATCTCGGTTGAATAACGGAAAAACCGGACGGATCTGACCGTCTTGGAACAAGTCGTCAGCAGAAATCGGGGATCCATCGGGATTTAAACAAACAAATGAAAACTCTTCCTCTTCTTCTTCTTCTTCTTTTTCATCTTCCATTCCCGGCTGACTGATTATTTTCTCTCCTTCCTTATTAGGCTCCTCGTCTTCAAGCCGTAGTTTAACTCCGAAATCGTGAGTGAAGTTTCCGGCGACGTCGTTATTGAAGGTGGGAGATAAAAACGGTGAGGAACTCATGACTTGCATCAGCAAAACCAAAAGGAGCAGCTCAAGAATGAAAACTTTGATTATGCTGCAGATATAAATACATAAAGAAGATAAAAAATGAATTTAAGAAGTCTGTTTGAGCTTGTTGGGCTTTAAATAGAGGTGGTTGGTTGAAAGTTGAAACTTCCCACTCCTTTTTCTTTTCTGTTTTTAATTAATTAATAACATTAAAATATTTTATAAGCATACTTGCAAGTAACCCGTCATAATTCGGTTAACTTATCGAACCAAATTACTCAAATTTTATTGATCGATTTTTTTTCATTAACCGTTAATTGAATTGGCTTTTTTCTAAAATAAATAATCGAACTAAATTCGGTTAATTTATCTGTTAATCGAATTAACTGAAATTTATAAATAATATATATTATATATTTAATATTTTTTAGTTTATTTTATTAATTTGGTCGGTTAATTCGATTAATTAATTAATTTCAAACCGAATTAATTGAAATTGAAAATTAAAAAATATTAACTGTTAACCGATCAAATCTAAAATTAACTGACCGATTAATCAATCAAAATTTCGATTCGATCGATTAATGAAGTTTTAACTGACAGTGAACACCCCTACTTGCAAAGAAATGAACAAAAAGAGAGACAGCTTAATCAAGACAAAACAATTGGAGATTTTCTTTTATTTTTTTCCTTTTCTGGAAAATTTCATTTAGGGTAAATTATTGTACATGTCACGTTTGTTTCATTCTTCTAATTTTGGACACTCAACTTTTAATTATTATATTTTGATCATTTATATTATCGACCACTTATAATTTTATTTATTTATTTAGTGTAATTATATATTACTTTTAGATAATATTTAAAATTTTAACTATAAATAAAATAAATTAATTAAAAATTATTCTCATATCAAGATTTTATTTAATTTATCAAATATAAATCATAAATAGACAAAAGTGAAATGATTGGAAAACAAATGTAGAAAGGCGGAGTAGGTGGTTGATGGAGAAGTAACACGTGTTGATAAATTTGCTGGCGTCAGGTCATCGTTGTAGTTTGTTTGGGTAAAGTACTCAAATAACCATTTAATTATAGGGTTGATGTCGATATAACCATTATAGTTTTTATTTTGACAATATAATCACATAACTATTTAAGTGATTTTAATGTTGTCACTTATTGCTATAAAATAAACAACATAGCTGATGTGGACATCTGACTCATTGTTATTCAATAACAATCACATCAATTATGTTGTTTGTTTTATAAAAACGTGCGATTATATTAAAATCACTTAAATAATTATATAGTTATATTGTTAAAATTAAAAGTATGATTGTCATATCCACATCAATTTCATAATTAATTGGTCATTGGAGTAGTTTACCCTTGCCCGGTGTTGAAGACGATTCATTCACAAATCAAAAGCATTGTCATTTCATAGGCATCGATCAAAGCTTTTGTATATATGTGTATGTGCATACTCCATCCGTAGCAAGCACAGCAAATTGGTCTCTGCTGGTTATATGTCGTTGTGAGACTTCTGGAACAGAAATAAGCCCGTAATCTTTTATGCTGGTTGACCTGCTCCTTGTTAACCCAAACTATCAAGATTTGTTTAATTTTAATGTTTTTTTAAGGGTTAACTACATGGATAGTCAGTTATATTTGTGTTTTGACCACTTTTGGTCATTGATTTCAATAAATATAAGAAATGATCAATTTTGTTTTTATTTAATTAAGATATGGTCACCCCAAATTAACTGTCGTTAACAATAATTAAATATTTTGATATAATCACACATTTGCTCCCTATTATTTACATATTCTCTCAATTTAGTCATACTTTTAATAAATTAAATTAATTTAATCCTCCAATCGAATGATGTCACATGTCATGTCACGTAGGGGTGTTAAAAATACCCAATCAGATTGACCCGACTCGTCGACCCACAGAACCAATTAAAAATACCAACTTTTATAATAAAAATACCTGATTTATTGAGTCGGGTAGGTTACTAGGTTGGGTCTGGGTCACAAAATGTTGGTTAATCGGGTACACACCAACCTGATACCCGATTTATTATATATATTTTTATTCATAATTCTCAAATTATTTCACTATAACATTCTAAAATCCTAATTTCTTAATTTTTGACACCATAATGTTCTAAATTCTTAATTTCTTAAATTATCTTTTAAAATATTTATTTTTACTTCAAAACATTTGAAATTTAATTATATTTGTTTATTTTAATTTTTAATATTTTTTAAATTATATAATTTGATTTTTTAAAATTATATAATTTGATTTTTTAAAATTTATGTGTAGATTATATATATTATAGACTTTTAAATTTTAGATTTTTTCTATATACTTTTTTAAAATAATAAAATTTAAATAAAAAAAAATTATGAACCGGGTACCCGTGACTCAGATTATGTATAATATATTATATATATATATATATATATATATTAATTTAAAAATATTTTTATATTAAATTATTAAATATATTTTATTATTAACTTAATTTAAAAATATTTTTATTTCCATTTAAAAAAATATAATTTATTAAAAGTATGACTAAGGGGTTATTTGTTTACTTCAGAATGATTAAGCGCTGAATGATTCAAATGTTGAATGATTCAGAGGCTCTGTATAAATTAACTCTGAATGTGACATGTTTTTTGATCATGGCTGTGAAACATTCAGAATGTACTTCTGTGTTGAATCATTCAGCACTGTTTTGCTGAATCAGTCAGCAGTAAATCATTCAGAGGTGCGAAACAAACGCGCTGAATGCTGAACGATTCAGTATTCAACACTGAATGGTTCTATTAAGAGGCAAACAAACAGCCCCTAAATTAAGAGAATATATAAATAACAAGGATCAAATGTGTGATTATATCAAAATATTTAACTACTGTTAACGAAAGTTAACTTGGAATGACCACATCTTAATTAAATAAAAACAAAAGTGATCATATCTTATGTTTTTTGAAAGAGAAAATAATCTCAGTGACCGAAAATGCCTTATAATATACGATTTTAACAAACTTTTTTTTGATTTGCGAAAATGACCAACAAATCCGCAACGCGAACTCCAATTTCGCAACCCAGTTTCCAAATTTGCAACGCGAATTTAAAAAATCGCAACACAGAAGTCAAATTTCGCAACACAGAAGTCAAAGCGCATTTATTTTCACAATATTAATTTCACAACACAAATGTAAACAATATTATCGCAAATCATGACCTAAAACCCTAAATCACAACTCAGTCTCATCTCCATCTTTCACTCTCTACGACGACATCCGTCCCCATCTCCGACAAAATCTATCCCCATCTCCGAAGAAATCCGTCTATCTCCATCTCTCATAGCAACCCTCACAACCATTCACGGTCAGAAATGGAAAATCTACCACCGAGGGTTAGCTTTTTTAATCTCTTATTTTTATTTTGAAAATTTTGTATTATTATTAGATTTTTCTTATATTGATGATAAATTTACTGGTAATTTCAATATATAGATTAATCATTTCACTTAGATTGCTTAGTAGATTCATTCGGTTGCTGCCAATACTGCTAAACTGTTTAGTCTTTAACCCGGTGAAGTTAGTATTTGTCTTTTGGTTGAAGTAATGCAATTCATTCAAGTTTCAATTTGCAGAAGAATAGTTTTTGAAACTTAAATTCGCAACACGAAAATGAAAATCGCAACACAAAAATCGCAACGTGAATTTAGTTTCACGTTGCGATTTTCATGTTCGCGTTGCGATTTTCATTTCGCATTGCGAATTTAAGTTTCAGAAACTACTCTTCTTCTGCAAATTGAAACTTAAATGAATTGCATTACTTCAACTAAAAAACAAAGACAAATACTAACTTCACAGTGTTGCGAATTTAAGTTTCAAGAATAAACTACTACTCTTTATGTTGTCCTTGAACCTGCACTAAACATATATGTTGTCCTTTTAAATGTTTTATAAGTGCTTACTTCTGGAATGTTATCTGTTGCATTTTGTGAACTATGATGGATAATGACTTGGGTGAATACCGTGCTAGTTTGAATTATATTTGGCTTTGTTTTCACTGTTTAATATCATGTATATTTATAATGTATAATTTGTAGTTTTTGGTATATCTAACTTGGTATATTTATTGTTTTTGTAGAATTTTTTTTCGGCTCAATTAACCTTAAGGAATAAATTAAGCCTAGCCACTAAAATTGTGTCGACGCTTATACCTCTATAAAGAAAATTGTTTGAGGATACTTGCTTCGGGCCATGGATGAAAGTACAACATCCGGGTGGAGATGCTATGTTGACACATTTGTTTCTTCAGACCATGACTAACGATCTACCCGAGAGGATACAACGTGGTGATGAAGAGATATAATTTCATTTTTCTCCGGCGCGTACTTGTTTTGGGCGGGATGAGTTTTGCTTAATCACTGGTCTACGCTTCGGACACGATGAAGTAACCCGGTACACTAGTCATATCTCCCGCCCATCATGGTTATCTCGGGTTTTTCTTGAGCTGGCAAAGTCGAAGCCGAGTTTACACGTCGACGACTTGAAGAGATTATTTGTTAAAGATGGTTTTACTCGGATAGATGACTTTGATGTTGTTCAAGTATGCCATTTATTACTTTTGCATGCTAGATTTTTAGGCAAAGAGGGCAGACAACCTATTTTTGAGGACCTAATATTATTGGTAGAGGACCTAAATGCATGGAACATGTTTCCGTGGGGTTCATATCTATGGAAAGCTACCTGGAAGAAGTTGTCGTTTGCCTTTGAGGACCAAAAAAGTTTACGGGGCGACAGTTCTAAATACACTTTGGCAGGTTTTATTTGGGCCTTTAAGGTAAGAATTTATATATAATGTTTCCAAATTTATAATTAATTATTTAACAATTATTGATGTTTGTGTATTATATTGTTTGTAGATTTAGATATTTGAGGCTTTCCCCAGTATGCGGACATATGCGATAAAAAATTCAAATGATATTCCTAGA